GGCAAAGGAAAATTAAGGCTTGCCCAAACTTCGGTTGAAAAATGTTTTTGCAGAAAATGTGAAAATGGGTAGAGGAGAACATTTAAAAAAAAAAAAAAATATTTGGGTTGGAAATACTTCTGCTACGTCTAAGGAGAATGTGTACCTTAGCACCCCTTCTACACGCACCAGGATGTCTAGTCAGGCTGTATCCCCAAGGTACACCATTTACATCTCCTGTCAGCACAGGGAGGCAACAGAGAGACCCTGGCTGTAGGCTGTACAGAGGATGCCATCTGACTTAAAATCCCCACTAATAAATAAAACAAAAAAAAAAAAAAGAGAGGACATGAGTCAGTGAAGTTCAATTTGCAGATAGAAATATTTCTCTTCATGGTCTATATTTTTTTTCAAGAATATAAATTTTCTGGAAAAAATATCTTGATTGAAATTTTTCAGCTAGCACTCATAAAAAAGATCTTTAGCCCTTAGAAATGACTTGGCACCTTCTGCAAGAAGTATATGTCCTGGCCAAATTCAAATATAGGTAGTTCCAGCCTGGCATCTGAATTGGATTGCATTTGGGGTCTCCCACTTACAATCCTAAATTGCTGGATAGGGTTGCTGTATGTCTTAAACAGCTGCTGCTTTCAGAGTTAGCTATAAAACAAATGTCATCATCTTCACCACTGAGGACTTCTATGACTGAAGTACAATCCTCCAAATTGCAGTAAAGGACTAATATTCTTATTCTAAAAGACTTAAGTATACATCCTTAAGCTCATCTTTAGGACTATTCTAAAACACAGATAAAACTTTGCATATTTACAGCTCAGGCTTATGGCTGGCAGCTGGAGCAGGCTTATGTTGAGGGTAGGCAACTAACAGTGAGTTGAAACTTTATTGTAGTAGTGAATGAAATGATTCCTAAATACGGAACATGCAGAACCCCCTTTTCAATCAAAACTGTAAGTAAAGGCAGTGGGTGTTTAATCTAAAAGAGAAGTAGATACAAAAGTCACGTGCATTTCAGGTTTTACCTTATTTTTGCAAATTCTTTGAGGTTCTGATTCATATCTGCATTATTTCTGCAGAGTTACAAGCATTTAGGCACACAACAACTTAGCTTTTTAACAACGCAGATATTGGAAGAGACCTCCCAGGCAATTGAGCACGCATCCTACATCCTGTACAACCATTTTTACACCTTCCAGACATATTCCTGCACTGCATTAACTGCAGTAAGTTTAAGATGATGCCCTGCATCCCAGGCAGTAGTACGTGCTCTCTCTTCATATTACTGCAGTTGCTTTAATGAGTTGAGCTTACTCAGCACATGTCAATACAGAGTCTGCAGGGAAACTAGATAGATTCATCAATCGTTTTGGAAAACTCACCACCTGTACATGCAGGGCTGATTGCATAAAATTATATTTTTAGTAACCATTGGTATATTTCATAGGTAAAGTTTTGTCTTTTATCCCTCATTCCTTTCAACTAGGTGTTATCTTAGGAGCTCAGTGCAAAATTTGCCCACTTTTGCTTTTGTGGTGAGGAAGGTCAATGGAGAGGAATGGAGGAGGAGATGTTTAGTGGAATAAAAGCCCTGGCTGTGTGGTGCTGGTAGTGAGCTGGAGTGCACTCTGGAAAGAGCTCCTCACAGTCCTCCTGCCCAGTCATCTGGAGCTTATCTGTTCTCCTGGCTCTGTTGTTCATACTTTCTGCAGTTACCTTTGTAATGTCTGAATTGATCTAAAGTATGCAATTTATAAAAAAAAGGGCTGTGCCAATAAAAGCCATGTCAAAGTCCATTCATGAATAATTTTACAGGATCAAGGAGCAGAGTTTTAGAGATGGGATTTGACTCTCCTAGACTTTACTATCAGTAATCAGAATATTGTGGCTGACAGCAGGCTTTCTCATCATATTTTTTAGGCATTTATTTCTTTAGACGGATTCACTTTTGATTTAATTAGTCACTTAGAAGATCCTGATCTTCTTTAGGCTAGGAGTTTGACACAGAAAGGTCAGTTGCTGGAACATTTCTTTTTGCTTTGCATTATTTTGTCTAGGAAGTAATCACTGTTTCAGGTGCCCAAAATGGTCATGACGTTTCAAGACACACTGGTATGCATGCCGGAAACAGGACTATACATTTGGGCTCCACAGGAATCTAACAAAAGCTGTTCTGTGCTCCAGAAGCCAGTATGCCTTCCCGTAGATGTATAGGACCTAAAGCTTGAGAACCATTAAATCATTTAACCTGACCTCTCAAAATCAGCTGTCAGTAAATTTCTCCCAGATACCTCCTCCAGACTCCCACCATTTCAATCTGATTACAGCCTGTCAGTCTGAGAAAGCCCAGACTATGGCCACAGCAGACTGTGGGAATGGATAGAGGTGCCATCAGTCCTGAGGATCTCACAGTGGAAATAAACTGATCCAGGTCAGGAATGCACAGGCAAAACTGTGCCGCTAGCTGCCGAGGAAGGCAACAAGAAGTTCAGATGGGCCTGATTTCCATCTGATTTCTGCCCCACGATTGCATTCCCTGGTGCCTGGGACTCCCATGTGAATTTTGTCTCATCATCGGGGCAGTCTTAAAAACTGCCCTTGCTGTGACATTTCAGATGTTTGGTAAGGGCTGAGCTCAAACCACAGTCTTTCCTTCAGTGGGGCATTGCTAAGGTTTCTATCGTCTTCTCCACTCTTTGTGAGTGAACTTTGTGAGTGATCTTCGTGAGTGATCTTCGTGAAGCCTGCAGGAACTTAATTGCCTTTGAGCCTGCAGCTGATCTGTCAAAACTGACTTAAATCGGTCAGCAAGGCCAAAATGTGTGAGAAGAGAGGAATAGGCTGACTTAGCCAGAAGTAACCTTTTTGCCGCTAAAGACAAAACAAAATAATTCACTCCTACCATCAGGATACAAACTCATTCCAGCTTCTGAAAATCAATACATATAATGGACACCCTAATGTCTATTCCCTACAGAGGACTGAACTTCGCAGAAACTTTAACGACTCAGCTCTGAGTTAAAACACTAGTCCACAATTTCAGGGACTTGAATTCCCTGCCACTGCCATGGACGTCTTGTGCAGCCACGAACAAGTCACATGGGTCAAATCTGCCGCTGCAATGAACTCATGGGGGTGGCAGAAAGCCCAGTATTTCAGACTTTGTGAAAGCCGTGGCTACAATACTATAAATATGCTTTTGCTTATGTTACCTGAGAAAAAAGTAGAATAGAAAAAACACTGTTTTGCCAGCATATGCTAGGCCTATGTTAGGATGGACAACAGCTAAAATGACAATGCTTTGAAGGGGTCCTTGTTTCCCTGAGCTTCAGATATATATCAAAAAAGTGAAGTAGTAACACTTGCTTATTTAGCTGATGTGTTTCAGAGAAAAATGCATTAGAGATGAAGGGACATGCACAAATGACAGTAAAAGCCATTCACTTAAAGCCCTAAGAGTTAATTAGCTCAACTATGCAGGCAGAACAGTCCCTAACTGTATTCAGTGATTTGTTCTGTCTCATAACAAACTGTTCCTCAGGAAAATATTCGGGTTTTGTTTTTTTCCCTGAACACGCACAAACTGTTTTAAAGTGACTCATGAGGAAAAAGTTCTTATTGGTAACAGGAGGAAAAAAATATGAGTCAGGCGGAGATCATGCTGAACCTCTGCCTGGCCATGCTCCTCCGACTGAGTGCTGGTTGTGCAATCTCAGCATGGAGAAGCTCTTGTTTGCTTCAGTGCATTGACGGCATGGTCCCATTCCCAATGCTGAGTTTGGTAACAGATGAGACTGTTG